GGTGAATGTTGGAAGTTGGTGAATGTGTATACGTTGTACAAGAGCCTTGGATGCTTCAGAACACGTGTGTCGACAAATAGCATTTACTAGTACCCAATTAGAAAATATATACTAGTAGCAATCGGATAATATGTGTTCAGCTCATGGACGCAAACAAAACTAGTAATTCTGTCAACTTCGGCTAACCGTGAAAAACAGAGTACAAAGCGGTAAGCGCGATGGATTTCCGGAAAATCGGACGGTAGAACTTCAACTGTCCAGCACATGGGTTGAACAGAAGGTTTTGCAAGTGGACTCTGCAGATTCGCACTATTTGGGTACACCTCGATAAGGCAAAATCATGGTACTGATCCATAAGTTATACTCCGGATTAGGGTAGGAGTGGTGGTTTTTGTCATAACAAAATCGTCGTAATCACAAGGTTTGCAGTTTAAATCACAGCAAGTAAAACATCGAAAATTATTACTTTTGGGAGACAAGGACATTTAATCATGTTGGAATAGGTAGGAAGAATTCCCTGTGTGGTTGGAATTCACGTACCACGGCTTTCCACAGGGTGACCTAGCCAACTCGTCGGGGCCATGCAGTCGAAAGCGCCAAGTGTCTATGGATTTAAAATTAACGATGCTGCCGTGTACTTCCCGGTGTACAGGTGGTGTGACTCGCCGTTTCATTCCAGTAGGAGAAAGAGGAGCGAGTCGACTTGGTGGCACGATCACTTTTACGACAAGCAATGTATTTCGTCGCGTCAAAGTGTGTTCGTACTTACTGTAAGAGCTGTGGCAGCAATAGCAATACCGGTAACACACTCCCAGATAGTACAGTACAGTATGAAATGAATTTACAGTATGACCTAATTCTCATTATACTATATGACTCGAAGAACAATCTTCCTTTTTCTGCAGATTTCAATTTTTTTACTGCACATTGAATCCCGTAGAACGATCAACTCGATCCGTGTTTTGCGCAATCTGGCATGAGTCATAGTGTTCGCACCTTCAGTAAAAATTAGGAATGCCCCCTCTTAATTAACCGCTGAAATGGCCTACGAATAGATCCAACGACATCTGAATATAGCTCAAGGATAAAACCACTAGTCGAGGCAGTGAACCATGAACGAGCGCGTCGTGGGAGTTTGCTCTGAAGAAGAACTGAGTGAGCTGCTCGTGACGTTACCTCGATTTATACGGGCCCACAAGGAAGTCACGTCATGCAACCATGCGTACGATGCGGACCCTGCAGCATGGCATTGCCATCAAATGACCCGATATGACACGAAGTGCTCGTCTCGTCGTTGCCATAACATGGACCCAAACGATGCTCGTTTTTCGTTCTGCAAAGCCCAGTACCTCTTCCGCGAATGCCATTTCACACAGGAAACCTTGTGACGCAGAAAGGAACTCATGTTCACGAACGGCCACTCACGCGAGAGTCCTGATCTCTTCGTAAAGCAAAGGTATCATAGAATCAATCCTTATACTAGTCCTCTTAAAAGGGCAATGCTGATATGAAAGAAAGACTGCTTGGTCTTATTTCCTACGACCCACAGAGAAAACCAGCTGCGTTGTACCGCTTTATTGAGGCAATGTCACAAGCAGGTCGCTTCGATCAAGCCGATCACCAACCCTCTCCAACTCTTAGGCAAGTTACAAATGCTGTGAAGCGGCTCAGGTCCAGCACGTTGGGACATGTGAGCACGGACCAAGCACTTCGTCAAGAATTGACGAAATGGCTTCAGCCAGGTGGTGTCGCAGACGCATCCGAAGGACATCCATTCGTGTTTGGAGTACCATTATTTACCGACGGATTTCCTCAAGTCGGAGATGGCTCAGATTTGGACCCGTTGCGAATTGGTACATTACACATACATGTATTGTTAGGATTATCGATAATGACACTACTGCAGCGCTATCGCAGTGTTGTTACTGAGCACGCAAACATACGTGTTATGGTACATATGGTTACGACGTTCAATTTGAACAAGTTGGGGTACCCTCTGTTCGTCGTTGGGTACTGAGACTTTGGTGGCTCCTGTCACGTACAGTGCCTCGGGATTTCCTCCCACAGAAAGACTGGGGATGTGTCCTGGTTGCTCGAGGCCTTGAAAAACGCATTCCACACTAACTGCAACTTCAACTTCGCTCTGCCATTCATGATTGGCGATGCAGACGCCGCACAGTATAATGGAGTACGGGCGACATTTTGGCGCCGCAATTGAGTACATCATGTGTTTTTTCAACGTCATGAAAAAGGTACGAAGAACCAACAAAAATTTGAGAATTTTAGACTCTTAGTAGTGCTGAGACTACGTGGTTAACTTCAAATTGTCTTGGCAAGAATGGGACGAAGCGTCCAAGGACATATACCGCATGCACACAGCCTTTGATCGTGTGTACCTGGACTTCTTAGCAAGAAGTTTCAAGGCTAAGTGGAATGGCATGTCTCAAGGAGTGAGAAAGTTTCGACTGAAGTTCTTCGGATGGTGGATGCCCCCAACCATGATGGCAAACGTACCACTGAATGACACATCCTGCCGGTTCTGGAAATGGCAAGTGTATCACACGGCTCTTGGGGCTGCCACCACCAAGAATCACAACGAACAATTCAATGCTGAAATAAAAAGGGTACACCAAAAACTATGCTTGAATCTAACGCAACGTTTTAGGCTCTTGGGCACCAGCGCCTACGCATGGTTCACTTGGTTCAAGTCTTGTTACGACTGCTGCGCAGCGAGTCAGACAAGGCCATCCCATTCTGGACCACCCCTCGGGTTGGTGAACGCCTCCTCCAACACTTCAAACATCTCCAACGGCCGAATGCGCTCGATGTCAACGAGGCAATCGAGGATGGTCCGAATATTTGGAACGTACGACATCACGTAAATGCGAACGGTAATGTCGTCATCCCAGATAGATTCATTGTCCCTGACAATGATTTTGGGTACCAGTACATTACTCGCCACGTCCAGCGACTCGAGTATAATGACCAGCCCACCAACGGGTGTCGTGTCAAGCTGACGAACGTTCAATGCAACTGCGGCTACTGGTATCAATCTGGGATCTTTTTCCATTTGCTAGCCGTGGCGTTCAAGTTCGGTCGTCGACTTCCTGGTATGGCTCCAAAGGTGCGACGGATTGTCAATCGCAGCGTTCGGGGAGGACGCACCGTCCGTGGTGGCCGCGGTGGTCGTGAAGTTCGTGGTGGTCGTCGTGGTGCCCGCGTTGGCCCAGTCATCGCTGTTGACCTCATTTATCAAGATGTAGAACATGAGAATGGATTAATAGTGTGAGTGTACTGAAAATTTAATCAAGCACTTACTTAATTTTACTATTAAAACTCATTGTGTTATGTGGCTCAGTGGTAGAGCTTCAGTTTCACGTGCGAAAGGTCTTAGGTTCGATCCCCGGTGTTGACGTGCAATATACAAGATAGTCAGAGTGCGCTGGGACCTTAGCACGACTGCAGGTATATCCCCGCCATTCGGTTGAAACTGCCATCTAAAAAATATTCATTTTTCTCTATTTTTGTCAAGTTGCCATCACACTGGCAGAGGTAGTATGTATTGTATGGCCAGCTAGAAATGTCATAATCAAAAATGCTACGAAAGCCAGCTAAGACTACGGAGCGTTGTCAACCAGCTACGTCGAGACATCCATGTGAACCCATTGTAACAACAAAGCCACGCACACTCTCAGCATCAACGTAGTCGTTTTATCCGACAGACATGGTCTTGGTAACGTCTCCGCAGCCCATGCACAGCGGCGAAGTGCACCACTTGGCAGACGAACGCTGGTTCCGTGGCAAGCACCAATTCCTAGTGCATTGGGCGCGGCCTGAGTTATTGGGCAAGTCGACATCGTGGGTTCCTGCAAGCTATCTATCCACATGCACCGAAGCGCTTGGCAGCTACGATCGATGGAAAGCGTTTTGCCAATAAGAAGGTAAAAATTTATCTTTTGCGAAATTTCGCAGCTACAACGCTCATTGGCTTGACTTTCGAAGCAACGCCACAAACACTTCCTTGATAGCAGCATTTCGAATTGCAGCGACGCTGTTAAATGTACCGCAAAACGTCTCGGATGACGACATGGGCGAGTTTATGGCGAATAACAAGATTGACGCCAACGACGGGATCCCACCAGCGGCGTTGCGTTCATTCATCCGCTTTTTGGGCACCAAGGGTTTCCGCTTTTGCCACCAAACCTTCGCCGAAAACTAGCTGCTGGTTCCCACTGGCAACACACAGCTGGACTTGTTTGCAACGGTCAAATGTGGGGGCGAAGGTGTCTACTTGTTAACAACTGTCACTGACAACCTTTCACATTCCTGGGTTGTCCATTGCGTGGCCTGCAAACGAAAGTTATTGACAGCGTCGGTACGGTCCCATTGGAGAAATTTCCCCATGTAGACTATATTCAAACGATTCGGCGCTTGTCCCTCTTCAATAAGCAACGCGGCACAAGCGCAAGAAGCGAGACTCAGAATAGAACAGGACTTCCCAATTATGTGTATAAGATACATGTCCACATGACCTACAACTATTTATCGTCTTAAACTATGGTGATCGTAATGACTGGAATAGCCGTAGTACGGGTGTCAGTATGTCGTACTGGGTAATACTAGTGATCATCAGTGGCACGTTCTTCATGCGGCGTCACGATGATCAGGTAGTGGCGCCGCCATTGTCTAGGACATACTCACTATTGCATGCGAATGCGGCATGTGGTACTCTTGGTACCTCATACAGCATTCGCATGCAACAGCAACATAATGCACGTAGTATGGGTGCACTAGTACGTCGTACCAGTTAGTGGTCTTGTGGGTAGTTGGGGTATCTGAGTAGTGAGGGCGGCGCGGTCTTCATGCGGCGTCAACATGATCAGGTAGAGGTGCCGCCATTGTGCTAGGACATACGCATGTGAGTGCGCAACGATATCACTATTGCATGCGAATGCGGCTTGTGGTACTCTAGGTACCTCATACAGCATTCGCAGGCATGGTGTTGGTGATGCGAGAGAAAAGTGTACCTTTGACTGTGAATCCATGGTCATTCTTTGTCGATGTGAAGGGACGATGGATTTCTCTGTGTATTTATGCAGTGAAAGTCACGTGTTTATAGTGGTTTATCCGGTTCGTTGGCCCAGCAGTGCTCACTTTTCAATTTGCTCTACCAAGAGCAAGTCCAAATACTTCGACCAGCATGCATGATCTTCGAATGTGTTTTTCTCGGCCCACAAGGCATTTCAGGCTAGTCTGAGTGGATCAAGTTTTCAATCCAAACTAAAGTAATCGTAGTTCGAAGTGTTCGCAAATTCAGATCTATTAATATCAGCAAATCGAACTCCTAGCCTTCTTCCCACGTCAACAATCCTGTATAACAGTAAACGGATGCATTTGTATACCGGTACATTGTGAGGATGACTCTGTGTCTTGTGGAAAAGACCAATTTTCTGTGGAATAGCCCAAATCTTCTGTGTGATGTACAATTTGATTGTGACGAAGGCTTTCCCTCGTACGGTAGATGGTCAATTGAGTTTGGATTATCATGTTTATGACATTCCTTCGCGAGGGCCGATACAAGAACCACATGTTATGGAACCGCTTCACCAATTGTAACGCGCCTGCTGGACCAGGGGCGGTGTGTAATCTTCGGTTTTTACTTCTCTCAGCGCTTAATACAAAACCAGTCCACACTATATGTATACTTCCAGTTCACCGCCAGAGCTCGGTACGCAGTAGCTGATATGTGCGAGGTGGTTATCCGTGGTATTTACTATTTTGAAAACACGCATGAATGCGCTTGCAATTCTAGTGTCGACAAGTATGATGAACTACGTACAGTATGATTAATTCTCACTACAAATCCAACAGCTCGAGCAACTAGTTGACGCACCACTTGGTGCCGTAGGTGTCACTGTAGTAGTTGCAGTCTTCTTGACTAAGGCCACGCAAGCACGAGTTCCCATCGGGGTAGTAGCACGCGTCGCAGTCGGAGCAGCCAGACTTGGACATGGACGTGATGGGTTCGGCAGCCGACCTGACACTGGACATAATACTCGTGATCATCGGTACGAAAAACCCTAGGGCCTCCATGAGCAAGGGCTGGACTATCGGTACATCCCGCAAGCACGGAGTGGACGGGACGGATTCGGAACTCGCCGTGGACGGGGAGGACTGGGAACTCGACGTGGACGGGGAGGATTGGGAACTCGACGTGGACGGGGGGGGTGACTGGGAGCTGACACTGGACATAATACTCGTGATCATCGGTACGAATATCCCAAGGGCCTCCATGAGCAAGGGCTGGACTATTGGTACATCCCGCATAGATGGAATGGACGGGACGGATTGGGAACTCGCCGTGGACGGGGAAGATTGGGAACTCGATATCGACCTGGGGGGTGACTGGGGGTTGCTGCGTAGTTTGGTATGCAGCGCGTCACCCGAGACGGCCTTTTCTTCGGTCGTCAAGGTCAGATTGGACTGCTCCATGGCTGCAACCGACGCAAGGACAAAGGCTGTGAACTTCATGTTGGTTTGGATGGTGCCAAGTCGGTGAATTGGAATGTGACGGTTGGGGGGGTCACAAGACATGGATTTGCCCTGGTATGGAATGTACCAACGATCCAGTTCATCCTCCGCCATTTGTGTGGTATTGTAAATACACCATGGACGATCGATCGTGCGTTCGTATCATTGTAGAAATAGGACAATGTCACATGGATATCGTATTGGAGTGGTGTGGAACTGGATTATACTAGTATGTCATTGTCATCCAACACAACACCAGAGTACATACGTATCGAAGAAAGCATAATTCATGTACGGACGAAGTGCTGTTTGTGCTAGATCATGATTCGAACAATGGGCGGGTCCTCTACTACGTAATCAACCAAGTCAAGCTTATATTATCGTGAGCTGTTAGATCCACCTAGCCATACTAGGTCTAATCATAAGTGAACGTTTTTGAGTTCGAAGTGCGAACGTTGCTTCGGAGCGTGGAAGTTTCAATAACAACAATTGTAAGCAAAGTGTGTTTGTCAGAGTATTAGTTAGCTACAAGTGAAACGATTTCAAGTTGCAGT